CCTGCTGCTGCTCCTCCTGCTGCTGCTGCTGCTGCTGCTGCTGTATCTGCTGCTGCATCTCCTCCTGCTGCTGCTGCTGCTGGTTGTTGGGGTTGTTGGGGTTGAGAGAGAGAAACGGAGACGCTACCAGTTGCCTTGAATAGGCTTGCTGCTGCTGTCTCCGCAGACAGCAGCAGGCGTGTGGGGTGTATAGACAGCATATGTATATCTGCAGTTCTGGTTTTTATATTTATAGGTTTGTTACTGTATTGAGCAGCAACACCATCAATATAAAAAGAAAGTAAACCAGAGTTTAAATACATATTTATATTTGGGGCCTCAATAGATAGAAGCTGTATATATGCATGGTGTGCATCTATAGATATACTGTCTCCTTTTATAGGCACAGAAGAGGAGACAGGTAAATATCTGTCTCCTGGGGCCCCCAATATATACAATTCACCAAAAGAATAATCCGGGTGTATGTACACCTCAATACTACACTTAAACCACTCATCTAGCTGCTGCATATGCAGCAGTATATATATATCTTTTTGTTTTTTTTTTATTATGGGGATGTGAGAGAGAGAAGGAGATTTATATTGTAACCATGTGTTTATTTTTATTTTATTTATTTTATTTATTTTATTTTTTTCTGTCTCCTCTTTTTCTCTCGCATCAATAAAAAGGAGACTGCAGTTTTTTATATCTATCTTTACGTTTTGGTGTTCTTCTAGCTCTATCTCCTCTGTATAAACTGTCTCCTTTATTTTATATTTTATATATAAACAAATAAATAAAAACAATAACAACAACCCCACCAAACTAAACACACCGTAACCTCTCTTTGTTATATATTGAGGGATGCCCCCGGCCAAAGGTACATTACACATAAAGTCAGTGCCTAGCTGTCTCCTGTTTTCTGCTGTCTCCTCTTCTCTTTCTCTGTCTCTTTCTCTGTCTCCTTCTCTTTCTCTGTCTGCTGCTGCTGCTGCTGCTGCTGCTGCTGTGCCTGGTGTTGCTGCTGCTCCTGGGCCGCCCGCTGATCCCCCTCCTCCTCCTCCTGCTGCTGCTGCTCCTGCTGCTGCTGCTGCTGCTGCTGCTGGGGTAAACATAAAACGCATGCTGCTGTCTCTTTCGGTTGCGGAGACAGAAGAACGACTCAAAGGGGTTGATATTTCAAACGGAGACACTGCAGCAAAACTTCTGCTGCTGCTGCTGCTGCTGCCTCTTATATCCTGCTCATGCTGCTGCTGCTGCTGC